GCAGCAGGCCAGAGCTTTTGAGGAAGACCTTTTTTTCTTTCCCTCCAAGTTTCAAGATTTTGTCACCTATGGGACCTACAGTTGGGTTGAGGAAGGACTTGCCATTCCAGCTCCTATCACTAGGCCAGGGTCAAGGCTGGGAGGGGTGGGGAAGGGTGCTAGAATCAGTGATTGGAGGAGATCCAGGGTGAGGGTACCTCCAGAGCCAGCATGTCTCTCCTGTGGCCTTTGGGTCGGAGTAGGGTCAGATGGGCAGGCCCTGGGTGCTGTTAGCAGCTTTTCAGGCCTCTGCCCCGTTTCTGGGCCTGCTGTATGTAGCACTAGCTCTGTGCCAGGACTCGGCTCCTTAGCAGGTCCGAGCCTCTGCTTCTTCAGAAGAATCATGATTTACAAGGTCAGTTACAGATCTAGCAAAAGGCGATAAACATGTGAAATAAACTAAGCCTTCCTTGTTTATTTTCAAGGAACCATTTGCTGTTTTCTGTCCAACACAACCAAATTCTTTATCATTTCTGTGCTACTCTCAGGGCCTAAAATAGTGCTTTTTATTTCGGGACTTAAACAAACAGTTCAGTTTGGCACATGGGAAGAGAGCAAGAGAGTCACGAACAGGAAATGTGACCTGAAAGGGAGGCTGGTGCAGGTCCGTGAAGGCAAAGTGCTCATTCTGGGCACGAGGAGCCACTGCCCTGGTGCCAGGCTTTGGGGGACCCTCTCTGGTCCTCCTCCAGCCCTGCCTGTCCTGAGGGCACTGGGAGTCCATAGACCTAACCTCCTCTTACACTGCTGTCTAGACTGTGCTCAGGGGACTTGAGGATTCAGCGGCCAGATGTCCCCAGAGGCTGTGGGACCACTTCCCCAGAAGTGTCAGAGCATAGAGTTTGTGGAGTCGTCATGTCCTAGTGGTGGCCAAGGGCAACAGGTGGCAGGGGCGGGAATATGGACCAGAAAGGTGGAGCGTCCACAACCCTAAGTGAGGAGCTCCTGGTAACATGCAAGGGAGCCAAGGGTGGGCCCAGGACACGGGCAGCTGCAGACACCTGAGATGGCCAGAACCCCAGGAGCCGGAGAAGTCTACACAAACAGGGGGGTTCAACAATTTACAGAGATACGATATTAAAGAAGTAGTGATGGTGACGAGCGCTACAAAACGAAGTAAAGCAGGTGAAGACGGGGTAGAGCGTGTAGGGGGAGCTCTTTCAGAAAGGGAGACCGGGGTGGTGGCATTGAAGCAGAGACCCAAATGACGTGAGGACTTAGGGGCAGGGACATTGTGGTGCAGGTGCCTGGAACAGAAGCAGGAAAGTCCTCAGGGATAGAGAAGACGTCGTAGCGATACGCAGGACGGGCTGATAGGTCAGGCCCTTGTCGACTCTAAGGAATTTTTTTCTTTTTGACTACAAGGATTTTTATTGAGACTGTTGGGAAGTCATTGCAGAGTTCTGAGCAGGAGACTGACATGGTTTGGTTTCCTCTTAAAAAAAACTTGACAGTAGAATGACAAGAGTAGAAATGGGAAGACAATCAGGTAGGATGTTATACAGCACACATTTTTTTTAAAAAGACTTTTCCAATTTATTTAAAAAATTTATTTTTAAAAAGTGTGGTAAAATATGCATAATGTAAAATTTACCATTTTTCAGGGTACGGTTCAGTGGCATCAAGTACATTCGGACTGTTGCACAATCACGCTCCATCTCCAAAACTTTTTTCATCTTGTAAGACTGAAAGTCCATATCCGTTAAAGAGCTCCTCGTTCTCCCTTCCTTTAGCCTCTGGCAACCACACTTCTACTTTCTGCCGCTATGAATTTGACTACTTTTTTTTTTAATTTAAATTTTTTAAGAATACAGAAGTTTTCTTTTTTTTATGTTTTCATTCAATGATGCAAAACACAGATGCTGATTTGACGTACATTCACATATAACTTTTTCTCTCACATTTACAACGCAACAGATTGGTGAGTCCGAAGGAACTCTAATCATGCTAAGGAGCAAATAGCATTAGTATTTCAATAGCTTATTCCAACTCAGTTCATCTTTAATACTCTATAATATCTTCATTAAGTCATTTGATGAGATAGATCCGCCAGAAGATGGAGGTGACCAAGGTCAATCCAACTCTTAGCCACAGGTGGGTTATGTGGTGACTTCTGAATGCAGAACCTTGATCATGCTGAAGAGCCACTTGGGAGCCCAGTCAGAGCTGCCAGCCTGGAGGAGGTACACAACAATGCAAATGGTGTCATCTTGCTGGGCCGGGCTCCTGAATTTTACTACTTGAGATACCTCAATATAAGTGCAATCATACAGTTTTTATCTTTTTGTGATGATCTTATTTCACTTAGTATAATGTCTTCAAGGTTGATCCATGTTGTAGCATGGATCAGAATTCCGTTCCTTTGTAAGGCTGAATAATATTCCATCGTAAGTACATAGTATATTTTGTTTATCCATTTATCCATTCACCCATCAATGGACACTTGGGTTGCTTCCACCTTTTGGTTACTGTGAATAATGCTACTATGAACATGACTGTACAAATAGCTCTTCAGCTGTACCTGGGTATGCTGTGGGTGCTCTCAGTTCTTTGGGCTATATACTCAGAAGTGGAATTGCCAGATCATATGGAGTATAATTCTATTTTTATTTCTTTTTTGAGAAACTACACACATCCTACCAGCAATGCCCAAGGTCCAATTATCTTCACATCTTTGTCAACACTTGTTTTTTTTTTTTTTTTTCTCTTTTGGCAGTGGTCGTCCTAATGCATAGGAAGTGGTATCTTATGTGGTTTGCATTTTTGTAACGATACATAACGTTGCATTTTTTCATGTGCTTCTTGGCCATTTATATATTCTCTTTGGAGAAATATCTTGTCAAGTCTTTGCCTATTTTTCAATTGAGTTGTTAGTTTTTGTTGTTGTTGAGTTGTAGGAGTTCTATTTTTATTCTGGATATCAACCCCTTATCAGATGTGTGATTTGCAAATATTTTCTACCATTTGGTGGATTGCCTTTTTACTCTGTTCATGTGCCCTTTAATATACAAAAGTTTATAATTTTGATAAAGTCAGATGTGTCTGTTATTTTTTCTTTTAAAGGCTGTGTGATATTCAAGAAATTATTGCAAAATTCATGAAGCTTTCCCTTATATTTTCTTCTAGAGTTTTACACTTTTAGCACTTATTTTAGGTCTTTGATCCATTTTGAATTCATTTTTGCATATGGTATTAATAAAGGATCCAGCTTCATTCGTTTGCATGTGAATATCCAGTTTTCCCAGAACTATTTGTGGAAAACATTGTCTTTTCTCATAAATGGTCTTGTCATCCTTATTACAAGTTTTTAGACCATATATGTGAGAGTTTATTTCTGGGGTCTCTATTCTACTTCATTAGGCTAAATATCCGTCTTTGTGCCAAGACTACACTGTTTTGATTACTGTGGTGTTGCAGTAAGTTTTGAAATCAGGAAATATCAGTCCTCCAACTTTGTTCTTTTTCAAGATCATTTTGGCTATTTGGAAGTCCCTTTAGATTCCATATGAATTTTAGAATAGATTTTTCTATGTCTTAGAAAAATATCATTAGGATTTTGATAGGGATTGTATTTTAATATTTTAATTTTAATATTTAATAATATTAAATCTTCCCATCCATGAACATACGATGTCTTTCCATTTATTTAGTCTTCTTTAATCTCTCAGCAGTATTTTGTAATTTGCAGTGTACAAGTCTTTCATCTCCTTAGCTAATTCCTAATTATTGTATTTATATATTCTTTTTGATGTTATAATTAGAATTTTTAAAATTTTCCTTTTGAATTGTCCATTGTTAGTGTATAAAAATGTATTTTGTGCTGGTGGTTTAAATGACAGGTTTCTTTGTTGTAGTACCTGGACTGAGTTCTAGCTACTGGACCTTCTGTGTGCCTGGGGGCGGGGAAGGACATTGGTTGCCAAGGGGCCTGATGGAAGTTTTGGGAGTGATGCAACTTATACGACTGGTGATGGTTCCAAGACTGTATGCACTTCTCAAACTCATCCAATTGTATTCTATTGTATGTAAATTATACTTTAATAAATCTGACATTTACAAAGCTAAAAAAAATGGGAAAAAATTTGTGTTAATTTTACATCCTGCAATTTTGATGAATTTATTTGTTCCAATAACTTTTTTTGTGTGGAATCTTTAGAGTTTTCTACATATAAGATTACATCACCTGCAAACAGACATGGCTTTACTTCTTTCTTACCAATTTGGATGTCTTTTAGTTCTTGCCAAATGTTACTCCAGCATTCTATCCAAGAAATGATGAAGATTTTAATGGGAGTAGGGGAAGTGAAAAATGCTTGGGTTTAGGACACATTTTGCAGGTAGAAGAAATAGAATTGGTTGCCTTGGATGTTGGTTGTGGGAGAAAGAGAGGAGTTAAGAATGACTTCTAAGCTTAGAGATAGAATAACTGGCTGAATCATTGTGGTGCCATTTGATTAGATGGGGTAGATGGGTGAGTACATGCTTGGGAGGGGCCATATTAAATATGGTCATGGATGTGGACAATTTATATAAAAGCAAGAGAATATGGTAGGAAGATGTCAGAAGACCGACCCCTGGGGCAAACTCACATTTAGAAAAAGGAGTAGAAGAAAAGGCACCAGAAAAGAGGACGAGAAGCAACCCAAGTGGTAGAAAACGAACGAGGAGAGTCGGAGAAACAAAACAAAGACAGTTTGGAGAAAGTGGCATCGGTTAATAGTGGAATGAATTGGGGAAGGAAGATGAGGACTGAGCAAGGACCTTTTATGTGAGCAATGAGGTGGTCACAGGTGACCTCCAGCAGAGCACTTGCAGCAGAATGGGGAAGGACTCTGCCCATGCGCAAGTAATTTGGAAAAGCAAGTGGGTGATGGGAAGTGCTCTAAACAGCTCTAAAATGCCATACCTATAAAGTGAAGGCAGCATGGTTGTTACTGTTGTCATGGAAACAAACCCCATTTAGGAGAACTAATAGCCACTTAATACCCCCCTGAGTCTAGCCCATCGCATTCCCAGGATCTGTTGTGAAAGATGCTGATAAAAACAGTCCTTAGAGGGACAGGGTTAATCAGGCTTCTTCCTTTTAGATGTGGTCCCTAGCTGAAGTAATTCTCCCTTCTTGAGAAGGAAGCCAGACCAACACCCACACCAAGTTCTATAAAGCACACACAGACCAGCTGACCAAAGTTCCTTATTCTCTTGCTGTTAGCTGAGACTCCTCATAAAACAAATTTGCTACTTCACTTTTCTTTTAAATAAGCAAGCTGAATTACTTGGAAGAGGAAGGCAGGAGGAATAGAGGAGACAGAAACCAAGCAGCCGAAGCCCAGAAACATTCTCGGGTGAGCGTTTGTTTTTATCTTTGTTTTGTTAATTTGTTATTGAGGATCAGACCTTGCTGATTACTTCGTGGTCGGAAGAACGCCTTCTGAAAAGCAAGTTAATTCTGTTCTATTATAAATTTTTTGCCTACCAGATACGTGGACATTTGAAAGATATTGAGAAAGTACAAAAAAAGTAGAAGAAAGCAAAAACCACTACTGAGCTAGTGTCTACTGACATATTTGGGGGGTAGTTCTTTCCATTCTTTTTTGCATGTCTGCTTATAATTTTAGTTTGATTTCCACACGTGTGTCCATACAGTACGATTACTTGATGTGCAGTTTCCATTAGAGCATAAACTGTACGTTGCTATAAATTCTTCATAATTATCATTGTAAATTGCTGGATACTGTAGCATTGAGGAGATTTACCAGACCTCACTCAAGCATTGCTCTGGTTTTGACCATATAGCATCTTTCCTATCTTTCACAGACTGGGTCATTTTATTATGTAAAATGTATTTTTTCCCATTCAGGGGAGAGAAGGTTTTGGGGAGGGGGGAGAGGAGGTTAAATTTGAGAGTGTAGGTGTCAGTGGTTTTACTCGGAGATGAAATGAGAGGGAGAGAGTGTGTGACATGTACACATCTGTTTATTACCCCCTTTGGGACCCGAATTGGTGGTTTAGCCGTATATTCAGCCAGGATTACCTGATTCTGAGGAAACCAAAAAGTATCCCTAGAATAACTGAAACTTAGCTTTTGGAGATGAGCCAGTCAACTGTAGTAGTTTTTGTTTTGTTCAAAAAATTGTCCAGGTTGTTCCAACCGGTGGACAGCATAATGATAGCTGACCTAGGTCACCTGAAATATTTTCCTGTCTCTGACACATACCTGAGATTAATACATATTAAGGGAAGGACAGGTACCATTTCAGGCAAGCCACCCAAATCTCCCTTTGAATACTGTAGAAGTAATTTGTGGGAAGTATAAAATGAACAAAACCTCTAGGAATTTCTGTCATCCACCTTAACCACAGAAACTCTTGTGTTGAGAACCCACCTACCAATTTCATTTTACGAATGCTTTGAAGAGATGGACTTGTTTCCAGTGCATTGGTTAGAAGTTTAGAGAGGTTGAGTCTCCAGAATATTCCAAATGAATCAAAATTATGCCCAGCATCTGTTAATATTCTCCCTTCCTGTCGGCCTGAGGTCATAAGGGGTCCAACACCACACAAACAACACCTGTTCTGGAAGAAAAATAGCATCTTTTTGCAATGTGCTCATGGCTATGTGTCAGGATCACATCGGGCATTTTTTTTTTTAAAGATGTATGTATTTATTCATGAAAGACAGACTGAGAGAGAGGCAGAGACACAGGCAGAGGGAGAAGCAGGCTCCATGCTTCTGGAGCTGGATGCGAGACTCCATCCCAGGCTCCAGGATCTCAACCTGAGCCAAAGGGAGGTGCCCAACTGCTGAGCCAACCAGGTGTCCCAACATTGGGCATTCTTAGAACCCTATGTGTTTTCCAGACTGAGGAACCCCCATTTTTCAAGTGTGTCTTACACAGTAGACACCTGAGGCACACTAGCCCTCCAAGACTAAGCCTAGAAGATAAAAGCCTAACAAGGGCTTGTACCATTACCCAGTAGGCTCGGCTTAATGCAGCAGCCAAGCTGGATAGTACAGAGAAAGGCCAGCATTTGTCTGTGTTGCTCTGCTTTGCTATGGCGCCTTGTCAAATTTATGTGAGAACCTCCAGCACTGCATCCGTGACTTTTCTCAGGGCACTGACCACTGCCTTCTTCGTACTAGAGTTACTCAGGTGCTCGTCTCCACCCTTCTACAGACCAAGATGCCTGAGGATGGAGTCCTTGCAGAACCCCTAGTCCATGGGCTCCATTAAGAATAGATGGAAAAGTAGAAATAAATTAATTTATCAATGAATGTGGAATTTAGTTAATGGCTCATGTTTATCTCTGTTGAATCAACTAACTTTAAGAAAAAAATTACTCATGAGAGACACAGAGAGAGGCAGAGACACAGGCAGAGTGAGAAGGGGGCTCCCTGCGGGGAGACGCTCAACCACTGAGCCGCCCAGGTGTCCCTGCACCTATTAACTTCTTTATATTAACTCATCCACGGAGCAAATGGTACAACGTCTGACAGTATTTAGAGGAAAACTCCATCGGATCCATCACATGGCGGTAGAATGGGCTGATGCGTTTGATAAAGAAAATAACGGAAGCTGGAGCTGTTGAGTTGGACTCAAAGAAATCCCCAAATTGGAAGGGTCCTTAGGAAGATCCAGGGTCAGGAAAGAAAACTTTAAAGCTTTTTGCACCTCTAATGTTTCAAAGAGAGGTTTCAAGGACAGGGAGAAGCAGATTTGAAGAACAAGAAAGCAGAAAGGACTGGAGGGAGGACAGGTCAGGGGAGGGACAGAGAAAAGAAGCAAGTGGAGGGAGAAGGAGGGGAGCAGAGCCTATTTGCTTTAGAGATTTATTAAAAAAAAAAAAAGATTTTGTTCATTATTTGACGGAGAGAGAGAGAGAGAGCAAGAGCACAAGCAGGAGGAGCTGCAGGCAGAGGCAGAGGGAGAAGCAGGCTCCCCACGGAGCAGGGAGCCCGAGGCGGGCCTCGATCCCGGGACCCCGGGGTCCTGACCTGAGCTGAAGGCAGACACTTACCCGACTGAGCCCCCAGATGCCCCTTTCACTGTACATTATAGAAACAACAATTTCTTATCATAAAAAAAGACTGTGTCCCACGTCAGTGTCCCCCTCTGGGGCCGTAGAGACAGCCTTTGCCGGGTTGGCCTCGCACACAAGCCATGAGGTGCACAGAGCACTGGGGCGTCGCATGTTCCTTACAGGAAGTAGGTTTCCTTTCATTTTGCATTGACAACGCTTCTTGTTCTCTTACCAATTGTCGGAGACAATGGAAGGCACTGTCCTTGTTGCCTGCAGCAGACAAATCCCTACCGGGAACCTGCTTGGACTTGCGAGGACAACCGCGGCCACCCCTCCTCGTGTCCGGAGTGTCCCTGTCCACGAGTTCGGGGCAGAGCACGGCCTCTCCTGCTGCCCACCACCCCGGCCGCGGCCTCTGTGCTCCTGCCCCAGAACCTAGATTTGAATTTCAGAAACAGTCAGTTTGTGTTGAAAAATAAACATTATTTTGTTGCAAAAGACCATTGGGAATTTTCATCTTTTTCCCTGGAGGACATTTAGTGTGAGGCAGGAGTGGGGGACGCCAACGACCCTTGACCCGCCCCGCACTGTGCTAAGGCCCAGGGCACCGCAGCCTTCGGGGGGCCTCCCCGCCGTGGGCCGAACTGCCCGGGGGATGGGTGCCTGGGGGTGCGGGCCTGCAGGCCACGGGGGGCGGGGGAGCGGCCCAGGGCCTGATGGGGTCCAGGCAAGCTTTTTCGTAGAAGTGGCGTCTAGAAAGAAGCGTGAGGCTGTGTCAGCGGTGGCCAGATGATCCGGAGCCCCGGGTGGATGCGCAGGGGAGGCGCGGTCCATGGGGCTGGAGTGGATCTCAGGGGACTCATGGGAGACATATGCCGGGTGACAAGATCCACACTGTGACCGCCTGGAGTCACGTTTGATTATGATGAGATAGTGGGTTTGAAGCCGAAGCGTAGGGTTGTCAGATACGCAGTTTGGAAATGTCCCTCTGGCCATCGGGTAGAGAAGGGACCGAGAACAGCAAGAGCGGCGGCAGGGAGCACTCAGGGGACTGTGTCCCTTGTGTAGGTGAAAGGTGACAACCTGTCCCGGGGCCACCGTCCGCTGGGCCCTGTGATGGAAGGAGGTGGGGGGCGGGGAGAGGGGGGTACTGAGGCCAGATGGGCTTCGGGGTTGGGGGGGTGCCCTGGGCAGCAGGGCAGGCCCGGCAGGGAGGTGAGCCCGGGCCTTCCTGCTGCTCCGTGCCCTCCCCTCTGTAGCTCACACATGCCCGTGGCCCCCGTGCCCCCCGCAGCTTCCCGGGGAACCTCCCGGACAATTCCCCCGGCTTCCCGTTTTCCCAGACACATCAAAGCACCCTCTTCTTATTGTTTCTCAGTGCCCTACACAGCTACCCCCCACCTGGCACACTAAAAAGTCCTCAGGCTCTTCTCCCCTTGGCACCAGGCAGGGTGGTATCAAGCACAATAACGTGCCTGAGTGCCAGGTCCGCGCAGCTGGGTGGGAGGCTTTCCCCGGGTCCCCTCCTTGGGCTTCTGGAAACCTCTAAGGGGGTGAGTACTTGTTAATGCTCACTCAGTGAGCAAGGGTGGGTAGAGCTGAGATTTGGCTCCTCTTGTGGTTTAAAGCTTTTCTGTGATACCACGGCGCCTCTGTGTCCTCCCGAGACGCGAAGGATGCCTAACAAGCCCCCTTCGTAAATGATTTCTTGGCTCTAAGACATGAATTCAACAGCAGAATATGAAATGCCTTGGTGGGAGGGAAGAGAAGGAGACGGAGTCTTCATCTGAATGAGGGCGCTTTGCTGAGCCCCTGAGTCACGAGCCTCTGGGTCATGCCATGTGCAGCCACTTTGTGGGCAAGGATAGTCCGAACACGGACACCGCTTCTAAGAAATTATTGAGCTCTGTCGGGTGACGGCTCCTGAAATGACACTTGCTGGCCTTCTGGCTTTGCAGTGAGAAAGCTGGACAATCAGACACAGACGTAGAGTGGCCCCTTGGCCCTCCTGAGGTCGGAGACTGGGTTAGTCACAGACACCGCCAATCTTCCTGGATACACTGGTGAAGTGCGTTAGGGGCCAAAAATTGCTGAGATAAGTTTATAAAATTCAATCTGTAATCAGTGACGTCGGTTCGTATGTTCTCTTCAACCAGAGCTAAGGGACGCCCGCGTGGCTCAGTGGTTGAGCATCTCCCTGCTTCTCCCTCCGCCTGTGTCTCTGCCTCTCTCTGTGTCTCTCACGAATAAATAACCGAAGTCTTAAAAAAAAAAAAAAAAAAAGAACAAACCAAAAACAACCCAGAGCTAAGAAGTTAGAAGAG